AAAGGAAGACCTTTCTCTCTGTCTCTCTCTCTCACTGTCCACTCTGCCTGTAAAAAAAAAAAAAAAAAAAAAAATCCAACATGTCTGCCACTTCCAGAAAATTCCCTGACCCCTCCAATCAGTGGATCTTCACTTCCTTCCTGATAGGCAACCACTTTTTGCTCTCTGCCATCGTGGTTACGCATGTATTCCAACCTCCTATAAATGGCGTTATTTGTATGTACTCTTGTGTTACTGGCTTTTTTCACTCAAGCTTTGTCTGTGTTGCTGTCTATATTATCAGTTTATTCTTTTTTGTTACTGAATACTGTCTCATTGTACAATTATGACTCTGTTTATTCGCCATCCTATTTGACATTGGGTCGTTTCCAGTTTGGAGCCAGGGTGGGGTCCAGGGGTCGGTGCTTAAACAGGGGGAGGGTGATGCAATGCTCCAGCCATAATCTTCATCCCATTTCATTCACATCAAAAGCATCTGCAAGGATGGGCAGGAAGTCAGAATGGTAACAGCGGTTATTTCTGGTGGTCGGATTAAAGTGGATTTTCATTTTGTTCCTCTTGCTTAGCTGTTTTCTAATTTCCTACCATGAACAGACACTGGTTGATTAATATTTTAGAATTGTGATTGAAGTATATTTTGATTAATTTATAAAATAGCTTCTTTTTAAAGAAAAGTTCCCCAATGGTCTTCCAAGAGTATGAGGTTGGAGAAGCCAAGTTAAAGAGGTTTAAAGATACATTCTCTGTCCCAGATGTGGGCCCAGACATTGTAACTGAGCCAACTTTCAGTTGCTCTGGTCTCCCCTGCAAAAGGCATTTCTAGAACTGTGCAAGGGAGGGAGGAGGGCCAACAGACATGGCCTGAGAGACTGAGCGAGATGACACACAGGAAAGCTCACAGAGGGCTCACACATCCAGGTCCGCAGGTCGATATGAGCCCCTACTATGTTAAGTGCTTTTGCATAACGGACAATAACCGGCTTCCACTCTGGGTTAGGCCCTGGAGTGGGAGTGGTGAATTAGTAAGACACTGACCCAGCCCCAAAGGAGCAAATAACAATAGTAATTACAGCTAACGTCTACTAAATGCTTACACGCCAGATACTCTGAGAAGTGCTTCATATTTGTGTATCGGGGCTTTTCATTCTTACAGGAAGCTAAGAGGCAGATTATCTCTATAATTGTTTTATATTCTGTCCTCTGGGTCGCAGGAGCCTGTTTGTCCCTCTGTCAAAGGCTGCACCTGTGGTGTGGTATTGGATCTGTTTATATAAGCGTACTTCAAAAAGGTCACGGAACATAAAATGGAAAGACAATGCACATCTTCGACTAACTTTTTGAAGTGCTCTTGTGTATGTATAGTGGGTCAGTGCTTGGGTGCTGGAATCAACTTTTCTGGATTCAAATCACAGCTCTGCCAATATTTGGCCTTTCTATGCCTCAATTTTCCCATCTTTAAAATGGTAGTGATCGGCCGGCGCCGTGGCTCACTAGGCTAATCCTCCGCCTAGCGGCGCTGGCACACCGGGTTCTAGTCCCGGTTGGGGCGCCAGATTCTGTCCCGGTTGCCCCTCTTCCAGGCCAGCTCTCTGCTGTGGCCAGGGAGTGCAGTGGAGGATGGCCCAGGTGCTTGGGCCCTGCACCCCATGGGAGACCAGGAAAAGCACCTGGCTCCTGGCTCCTGCCACCGGATCAGCGCGGTGCGCCGGCCGCAGCAGCGGCCACTGGAGGGTGAACCAACGGCAAAGGAAGACCTTTCTCTCTGTCTCTCTCTCTCACTGTCCACTCTGCCTGTCAAAAAAAAAAAAATGGTAATGATCATAGTTACCTCCTAAGTTATCGTAGGGATGAAAAGAGTCAGTGTGTGTAGTACCCTTGGAACAGTGTGCTAGCTACTATTATTGTTGGTGTTGTTCTTTGTCTCCTCCTATGGACTGAGAGCTCCTTCACAGTTGGGTCACCATCTTATCAGTTGTTGTATCTACAGCCCCTAACGTAGGGCTTAGTACAGGGTGGAAACCAAGAGTTGCCCAGTAAGTAATAGAACAAGCATCATTACTCATATGTTGTGGGGTGGGGGAGGCATGTTTCCCTTCATTAATAGATAGATTCTCCTAGGGATGATGATAATGGCAAGGTGAACCTCCCATAGCAGGGAGAGTCCAAGGAACAGGAAATATGAGACCACAGTTCAACTCTCCCATTTTACAGATGAGAAGCCTGAGGGTTAGGGAGTTCGTGTGACTTGCTTGTGATCATGCAGCTCATTAGTATTGGAACAAATGGGTTAGGGAGCTTGAGCCTTCTATCTTGTATCTTAACCTCAAATTCTATCCCATGGGGAATTGCATAGAATGTTTACATTTCTGTTCAAGTTCACAAAGCTTTATTGGATGCCAAGTGCCTTATGCTAGGCTTTTGAGAAATGGGTAGCATGGACTCAAGCATTGTCTAATCTTGGGCAAGACAGACATTAAATTAGTAAACCCAAATGTGATGAGAGGAAGCCCAGGATACAATGAGCGTGGGCCTGGTTTCCATCTGTAGGTGTTGAGGGACGGAAACGCCAAGTGAGAATTGTGAAAAAAACAGGATTTCTCTAGAAGGTTGTTGAACAAGACTGTTGAGGTCATACTTGAAGTGTGATGCTGGACCCTCCAGTAAAAGAATCCCTCCCCCTCTCACACACACACACACACACACACACACACACAGCGCTGTGCAGAGTGGAAACCCTGTAGGGGGAAGCAGATGTTAATTTCTGTGGGATGGGAGTCATAGGGCAGATGGCAGTGGGTAGCCCCTCTCCCCAGCACCCTTATTCAGAGAAACCCCAGCCCCACCAGCACAGCCCCCACCCCCCAGGGCCACTGGGAGAGGGGGAGAGTAGGGAGTTGAGAAGTGCCCTAATATGAATTCACACCACCAACATCAATGGAAATGCACTGCACGGCTCGGGGTGGGAAAATCGCAGCTCAGCTCACCCCAGTGCCCCTAATCTCCCAATGGGGGCAACTTAACATTGAGCATCTTTTTATATCCGGGAGACCTGGGAGGAAGAAGCCAGCATGGATGAGAAACCTAAGAGGCAGTGCAGAGCAGCCAGATACACACAGGTCAGGAGCAGGAGCACAGAGGTTATCACTGCCCACCCCTGGTCACGGTGGGCAAGACCATTAACTGCTTTGGCCTCAACTTCACCTGTAAAATGGGACCAGAATTAAACAATCTCCTTAAGTCCCTTCAGGTTCCAGAATTTTCCATGCATGTAAAGAAAATTTCTTTCCGAAGTTGCATTCAGTATCCCAGAAGGGATAGTGAGGTGAAATCTAAACAGGCGATTTGCTGGCAGAGCTCGCAAGCCTTTCCCCAAAGCCCCTCCAAGAGGAGAGCCCCAGAGAGGTCCCCAGCCCGGGGCCTGGGGACCCGCACCCAAGCGTGAGATGTCCTTGAGTTCTCGTTTATCATGCCAAAGGTCATTGCATAGTCGATTCTATAGTCTGTCTCTGCCTGTGTTAATATAAAAATAGTATGTTAAGTTACTTCCTGTAGATGAGTCTAGACTTGAAGGTTGACAGAGAACCTCGATTTTCATCTTGAACTTCAGCCAAGTCCCAACTCTGGGTGATAAGATTACAGGAAATGTCTGATTTCTTGTATGTGCTTCCTGTATTGTCTCTTTCTTCTCTCATGAGCATCCTTAATTTAATACTGGAGAAAAGTAGACACACATTCTAAAAATGAAGTATGTCACAATTCACAGATATCACCGTATCTGAGGGGGAAGCAGTTGCCTTTATGCATTAGTTCTCTAATGACACTTTGTTGCTCTGCTCACTTTATCCATCCCAGTGCTCCATACCTCGTCATTACGTAAGAAATCCGTGCAGTCAAAAAAATGAAATCCTGGCGGTTATGACAATGGCGGCAGCTACTATATCACTGCATTTTTACCATGTGCTGTCGATCTAAGTTCTTTACACATGTGCTCATTTAATCCTTACCAAAAAAAACACCAGGAAGTTACGGTAACTGACCTGGCTGCAGCATGTTGAGCGCTCTGCCCTAGCCTCTTGGCACACCTTTCGGATCTGGTTCTTGCTGCGGCACCTGCTCCAGGGCAGCACCCTGTCCCCTCAGCAGTCCCTTCTCTCTTGCTGTTTGTGTCCTTGCCCTCTGAGATTGTGCTTGTGCCAGACTTGCGGCCTGAGCTCCTGCCGGCGTCCCACAGGACAGTGGAGAGCAGCCTCAGAACAAAGAGCAGGCACTAAAGAAGGTGTCATTGGCAGGCAAGCGTCAGACAGTCCCTGCAGCCTGCTCTGGGCGCTGAGGAAATCCCAGCCCCTTGTCCACCTAGGCCCCGTGGGCTGCTCCCAGGATCAAAGGTACAGTGCAGGCAGGAGAGCATTCCAGAGCAGTGGTTCTCAAATTTGAGCAGGCACCAGAAGCTCCTGGACAACTCATTAAAGAAACAGACTGCTGGGCGCCACCCCAGGGCCTCTGATCCACCCTGCAGCACACTTTGAGATCAGAAACCTAGAGGCAGGAGGTTGATTCTTTTTAATAACTGATTTTGAGCATCCAGTGATTTTCTAACCCATGGCTGGACATAGGATCATCTGAATGCTCTCCCTGGGGATATGGACTATGGAATGCTCTAGATTCTCATACCCAAAGCCACAAGGGTGGAAGATATCTCAAAGATGTAGACAATACCACTCATTTCGCCATTGAACGCTCTTTTTTATTAGTGTGCTCATTGGCAAAGCCTGCAACATTGATTGAGCTGTGGATACCCGAGGGGCACAATGGCAGCTGGGGGTTGGCTGACTGATGCAGCTGACTTCCCCTGTGCTGCGAATCCTAGCTAGGATGCCTACGGTCGAATTTAAATTAGACTCATGACATATCATCCCCGGAATGTCTTGGAGTAAATGGCAGACCACCTTATTGGGCAGGAAAGTTCATTAACGAATCAATGGCTTTGTTTGATCCCACAGACTGAGCCTGAAATCATAGAGGAGACCAATGTTGACCGAGTTCACGAGCCCCGGGGCTATGCCAGGTCCCGGCAGGTGAAAGGCCATTCGGAGACTTCCACACTGAGCTCGCAGCCGTCCATCGACGAGGTCAGGCAGCAAATGCACATGCTGTTGGAGGAGGCCTTCAGCCTGGCGTCCGCAGGCCACGCCAGCCAGAGCCGGCACCAGGATGCCTATGGCTCGGCCCAACACCTGCCCTACTCCGAGGTGGTGACCAGCGCGCCAGGGACCATGACGCGGCCCAGAGCTGGGGTGCAGTGGGTGCCGACCTACCGCCCAGAAATGTACCAGTACAGCCTGCCCAGGCCGGTAAGTCACACATCCAGCCCTGTGCGTGTGGGCCAGTGGGGGCCCCAAAGCAGGGACTCTAGTGATGAGCCACCATGGCGTTTGGGGATGAATTTTGCTGAGCTCTCTCATGCTCCATCTGTGACCCAAAGCCAAGCCTTCCATTCCTGTGGGCAAGGCACACAGAAGCCCTGACATCCAGCGACAGTGTATTGTAGATGAATTTCCTTTTCTACCAGTCCTGCTTGTAAGGGGCGGGCCCATCCTTCATGCATGGGTGGTTTCCTACACTTTTATTTTAAATGTCAGAGAGCACCACAGGGCCACATCGTGCTAAAGGGCTCTGTAGCCTGGTGGTTAGGAACATAAGCTGCCTTAACTGAATCTCAGCTCTACTACACCCTGGCTGTGCAACGTGGAAAAGTTACTTAAATCCTCTCCAGATGAAAGTAAAGAAAAATAACCTACTTCTTAGGGTTGCCCTAAAGGTTAAAGGAGTTGATTTATGTAAGGCACTGGAAGAATGTCGGATCCATAGTAAATGCTACAGAAGTGTGAGTCATGATTATTTCATTTAGAAGCAAGTGCACCTCTGTATTTGAGACAGCATCCAATGTCTAGAAGCTTCCATGATTTACACACAGTTTTAATTAGTTTGCATTCACTCATCATAGATCTACATCTCCGTTTGTAAAGACAGACTTAGTTTCTTTTTTTTTTTTTTTTTTTTGACAGGCAGAGTGGACAGTGAGAGAGAGAGACAGAGAGAAAGGTCTTCCTTTGCCGTTGGTTCACCCTCCAATGGCCGCCACAGCCAGCGCACTGCGGCCGGTGCACTGCGCTGATCTGATGGCAGGAGCCAGGTACTTTTCCTGGTCTCCCATGGGGTGCAGGGCCCAAGCACTTGGGCCATCCTCCACTGCACTCCCTGGCCACAGCAGAGAGCTGGCCTGGAAGAGGGGCAACTGGGACAGAATCCGGCGCCCCGACCAGGACTAGGACCTGGTGTGCCGGAGCCGCAAGGTGGAGGATTAGCCTAGTGAGCCACAGTGCTGGCTTCAGACTTAGTTTCATAAGTTGCAGACTGTAACAATGCTATGGGCATCTATGATTTCTCCTCCATAATGTCCCATGTCCTATCCCCAGGGCTTACTCCTTAACAAAGCTTTGTAAATTGTTCCTGGGATATGTAGGTCCCTAATAAAAGCCAACAGTTGTTGAGTGTTTTGCTGGTAGTGGATACTGACCCAAGAGTTTCTTATAGATTCATTTGTTTAGTCTTCACAACAAGCCTCTGAGCCAGGTACTAGTTGTATCCCTGATTTACAGGTGAGGAGCTGAGGCTGCACGACTCGTTCAAGAGGCAGAGCTGGGACCCAGGGTTGGGTGTTCTGGCCCCAGAGCCCATGTTCTTAACCAGCAGGCTCTATTGCCCTGTGCTGCATTACCCTGCCTCTCCATCCATGTTTTTTCTTTCATTTGCAGTAGACTATCTGGGGCACCCCTGGGCTTGGGCCCCCACCCCTAAAGTCCTCTCTACCCTAGCACTTGGTAAACTGCTGAGATACTCCGTCTTCATGTACTCTACACACTGGAGCGAGGCTCTTTGTTTCCCCCCTTGGCTCCAGATTCTCCCTGCAGGCCTCTGAGATGTCTCCCTTGGAAGTATTCCTAATCCCTCCATCTCTGTGCCCACCCCAGTGTTTGAGTCATGCTTCTGCCTGGCTCCTGGCCCAGCCTTCCTCTCTGCACCCTCTAGCTCCCTCCTTGGCTTATTAAGCATTGGCAGGAGAGACTGAAGTTTGTTTCCAGTTGAACCTCTCAGGGAGGTGGCTGTGCTCAGGGTCATGGTCAACGCAAGGTCTTATCCATAGAATGGCAGGTGTCTTGTTTCTTCACTGCACAGTGATCAGATCCCAGGAATCTGACTCTTGGTGATTAAGCTCACAACTGCTTTATGCTTATGGATAATAACTTACCAACCTGGGTGACCAGGGGGCCAGAATACTTATGTTCCCTGATCTTCCTGGCCTTCCAGGAGGAAGCCAATCCAGGGAAAAGAAGCAATCATCAGAAGGAGAACCAGTTGTCCCTAAAATCACCTCTGTTGAATGCAGATCCACAGTTCAAACAATAAAGGAAATGGGATAAATAAAGGACATTGTTTGTAGTACTATTAATTTATTTTTATTTACTTGAAAAGCAGAATGACGGGGGAGAGAGAGAGAAATCTTTTGTTTGCTAGTTCAGTCATCAAATGCCTGCAACTCCCAGGGACTGGGCCAGGCTGAAATCAGGAGCCAGGAACTCCATCCCAGTCCCTCAGATGGGTGGCAGGGACAATGCCTGAGCCCTCACCTCACTACTGCCTCCCAGGGTGCACATTAGCAGGAGGCTGGATCAGAAGCCGGGCAGCCAGGCATCCCAAGAGGCGGTTCAACTACTGTGTCACAAGGGACATCTTTTTAACATCCCATTTTATAAAATACAGGTAAAATACAAATTGTTAATATGATATTTCTATTTGTAGTGTTGTGATGTGCATATAATATAAAATTTGTCATTTTGAAGTATACAGGACAATAGTGTCACATACATTCACATTGCCACCCAACCAACCTCCAGAACTCTTCATCTTATATAACAGAAACTCTACCTGTTAAAAAGCAACTCCCCTTTCCCCAGCCCACAGCCCTGGCATCCAGTGTTCTACTTTCTGTTCTGTGAGTTGGGCTACTCTGAGTACCTCAAAGAAATGCACTCACACTGAGGGTGTTCATGGGAGATGCATATTATGAAAATAACCATGCATGGATGTCAATGTTTCTCTTGCACCACAATAAACTTATCTTTTAATTCCATTTTGCCATGAACTCTGTCGCTCCCCCTCTTCGTGGAGGAGCGACACTGAACCCTGCCTAGGCTTCATATCCGAGTCACGGCACCATTATGTCGCTCCCCCTCTTCGCAGAGGAACAACACAGGACCCTGCGCTGTTCTTTCGTCTACTCGGCCTTCCCCGGGTTTGCTGCTGGTTCTTCCCGGGTTGGCTACCGTCCCTTCCACTTCCGTGGAAGGGCAGTTCCCCCTGGCCACTTTCCCCACTTCCTCGGGGGAGCGGCACACCGCCGGCCGGCTCTCTCGGGGGCTGCACAGGTGTCCCTTCAGATAGATGTTCCTCTTAGATGTTCCTGGTGCATGTTGTCTCTCTCCTCCTTTATAGTCCTCTTCCACCAATCCCAACTCTGCTACCCACACACCGAGTACGCTGCTCTCCTCCAATCAGGAGCAGGTCCTACAGTTTATTGGTTGAACTGGAGGCAGCTGTGTAGAAGCTGTTTCCTCCTCTCCCAGCGCCATATTGTGGGAGAGCAGATGCATAGAATAAGTCTTAATTCCAGTAACTTAGTCTAGTCCGAGTTGCTCCCAGTTGCTCCCCACAAACTCTTTGAGTACCCTCCTACAATATTTGGGTTTTTATGGCTGGTGTATGTCACTTAGCATGACATCCGCTGTGTTGTAACATGCATCAGAATGTCCTTCCTCTCTAAGGCTGGATACAGTCTCATTGTATTGATAGACTACATTTTCTAGAGCCACGTGTCCATGAATGGGCCCTTCCACCTGTTGGCAGCTGTGAATCGCGCTGCTGTGAACAAGGGTGTACACATCTCTCTTCAGGTCCTTGCTGTCTGTTCTTTTGAGTGTATAACCAGGAGTGGAATTGTCGGGTCAGATGGGATTCTATTTCTTTATTTATTCATCTGAGAGGTCGAGAAAGAGAGAGTTCACCCCTCAAATACCTGCAATGGCCAAGGCTGAGCTGTGCTGAAGCTGGGAGCCTGGAACTCGATGTAGGTCTTTCACCTGGGCAGCAGGAACACAATTACCTGAGCCACCACCACTGCCTTCCCCGGGCATTAGCACAGAACTGGAGTCAGAAGCCAGAGGCAGGTCCCGGCGTGCTAACTGGTGTCTTAGCTGCCAGGCCAAATGCCGGTCCCTGGAATTCTGTTTTTAATTTTTTAGGAACTGTCATATAGTTTTGCACCACTTTGCATTCCCACCAGCAGTGCGGCAGAGTTCCAGTTTCTCCACATCCTTGACAACACGTATTTTCTGTTCTTTGGCTAGTAGTCATCCTTAGCGTGGGAGACGTTAGCCCATTATAGTGTAGATTTGCACTTCCCTAGTGATTGGTGATGTTGAGCATTTGTCTACATGCTTTTTGGTCTTTATTTCTTAACAGGATTTCTAGGGTTAAACAGACTTTTGGGTAAACAGGAACAAGGATTTGTCTCCACCACGAGGGAAGTGGCTGGGTGCATTGCAGAGAAGTAGCCGTCACCCAAAGGCTACCACCTGCCACCTTCCCATCAGTCTGGAGTCCAAGCAGCTTTTCTTTTTTTTTTCCAGAAAGAGAAAAGTCTCACTTGGCCTTCGATTTCTATCATCATAGCATAGTTTCCCATGACAGTTATATTATAGTTTCCAAGATTACAGTGTTCTACTAATCACACACTAGATTGGTCCCTGCCTTTTTTTGAAGATGGGGAATTTTCTCACTGACACATAGGAAGCACCCTAATCTCACCACAATGATATGGGACCAGTCTCTGGTGTTTGCCACTGGCTCATCCTTCCTGGTCTCTGTGTGTTCAGCAGATCCCTGCATTTAATCTTTGCCCCAGCACAGGTAGGACGGCATCTACCAGCTGGGCAACCTTAAGCAAGGGGCTGCAGCTCTTAGCCCCAGGCCCCTGGGCCATGAGGTGGTGGTCAGAAGAAGGCTGGAGTGAAGATGAGATGATAATTCACATGAAATGCTTAGCACAGTCCTGGCACCACGTAAGCACCCGACAGTCATTAGCTGATTTTTTATTAGATTTTTTTTTTATTTATTTGAAAGACAGAATTAGAGAGGGAAAGGGAGAGACACAGAGAGAGAGAGACAGAGACAGAGATCTTCCATCCACTGGTTTACTCCCCAAATGGCCACAAGGGCTGGAGCTCAGCCAATC